GAGGCGGAGGCCATGAGGGCCCGCGGGACGGGGCGCTGCTGGTAGCTGAAGCAGCAGGCGGTTGGGACGCCGTCTGTGAGGGCAGAGAGACAGACGGACAGCCCTGGTGAGACCCCAGGCGACGGCACAGGCTCTGGTCCCGCCGGCGCTTGGGGGTCCCCAGGGATTTCCCCCTCCCGTCCCCCAGCACTGGTCCCCCAGCAGACCCCCATCCCCACGCCCCAGTCCCGGCACTGGCGATGCTCTCCTGCTCCCGGCCCTCCCCACAGCCACGCGGGTCCCCGCTGATGGGGATGGGGAGGATGCAGTGACAGCGAACTCACCGAGATGGGCCCGGGACGGGGAGCAGGTGGCCACCAGGAGGAGAGCGACCAGGGCGGCTGCGGGGACCTTCATGGTGCTGCGGGGACCAAGGGCTGCGCGAGCGGGGCTGGAGCTGGGGGTGCAGCGAGGGCTCTCCTCCGCACGATGCTCGGCCCCTCCGGCCGTGCCCTCCTTTTATCCCCGGCCGCTGGGCGGGCGCAGGGTTTCAAGGAAAGAAAATGAGAGCATCATACCGGGGAAATCGTGTCAGGATCGCCCAGATTTGCTGAGCTGGAGAAGGCAAGGAAACCGCAGAAGGGGAAGCGCGGCCACGGGGCTGCGACTTTCAGATTCCGTTTGGGTGTCCGGCGGGCAGCGGCCGGAGCACAAACCCCCACAACACCGACCCCACCGCCGCTGGAAGGACCCCACCGGCCACGAGCCGGGCTGGGGCACGGAGCTGCGCGGCCAGAGCCCTGGTGGAAAGCCCAAGCAGGCAGCCCTGCAGCAACACCAGCGAGCTCCGGGCAGCGATTTGCTCTGCAACAGCCCCCGCAGCATCCCTGGGTCGGGGGGGAACGGGCTGCGGAGCGGCTCTGTGGACGGACAGCCCGGCCCAGCTCCGGCACCGCGGCACAGACACCCCCAGCCACTGCCGCTGTTGCTGGCAGGAAACCTCTGCCAGGAGGCAAATCCCAGCTTAGCCCCAGTTTTGCCACAAATTCTGCTTCTCCCCGTGCCGCGCCGGTCACCGCAGGGTACAGAGTTGGGTCCGTAACGACGCATTGCGCATACATTGACCTGCACTGATTGCGCTGATTCTTGGTTGGACATGTAGGGAAGGAAAGATCATGTAGGAACGAGGTTGTGCTCAGCTCGAAGTCACTGCGGGTCTCACATGTGTCCCTTTTGCTGGTCGTATGGTCGAAACCAGAATTCTCACGCGGGAAAGGTTGCAGAGACATGGAGGACTGGATGTTCTGGACTCTGTCGCCCCGCTCCAGGGCTGGAGCAGTGGGCTCGGGCACAATCCTACCCCGTCACCCTCCCCGTCCCCAGGGTGAATAGCTGGTTTACGCCTCTTTCAGGATTTTAGTTTTGGCTGCAGTCTCCAGCCTCTGGACTGTCAAGTTGTTGCCGTTACTGTTTGCCCTCTTCTTCCCAAGCAGGATAATTTCATCCAATTTTAACTGGCTTATCCCCAAAAAAGCAAATACGTCCCTGTCAGGAGACAGGGCATTAAGAGCAGGAGCTGGAGTGAGGAGAGGATTCTACTGGTGCCCACTGAGATCAGCTCATTGGAGCCTTGCTGATGAAGCCTTGAGGAGATCGTAGCATGACAGAAACAGGGGCAGCATTTGCAATCCCAGAGGGTAATTCTCAAAGACCCCTGCCCGTGCATACCCACAAAGAAAGAGCTGACAAACTTCTTACTTTTTCCTTTTTCTTTTTTCCAGCCTTGCCCTGATGCTGCCCTGTGGTGCCACAAAAGGTTTGCTGCCCAGCTCCCAGCTATCGTGCAACCCCCCTGCTGCTCACCGCCTGCCTCCTGCCCCTTAGCGTGACTAATTCCTGCCGCCCTGATTCAAGGCAAAAGTCTAACTCACCAAGATGCTGAGCAATGGCAGCGCCCATCCTCCCATCCCCACCGCGTGGCGGGTGGCGACGTTCCCGGTCCAAGCAGAGGAATAAACCTCACGGTGGTCGCAATGGCCCAGAAAAACCTTCTCCTGCCAACAGGTCCTTCTTGGAAAGACACAGCCTTCCAAGCTAGCACTTGTTTGAGAGGAGGTCTAGGATGCTGTAGGTGACCCTGCTTTGGGGGGGGGGGGGTGGACCAGATGATCTCCAGAGGTCCCTTCCAACCCTGACCGTTCTGTGATTAGGAGAAAAGTTTGCAATTGTTTCTTTTAGAAAAGATGGGGCAGAGGTGAGAAGGGGTGTGATTCATCTCACTGGAGATGCTCAGGAGGAGCTAGGAAACGGTGGTCTGGCCTCAGGGCGGTGGTATGAACAGAAACCACCTCTCCAGCTCCCTTCCTCAACTGCCTGTGTTTCTGTTTAAGCTGCTCTCTGCCTGAGGCTACAAATGAATAACTCCTTTGTAATTAATGGTGTGCAGGGTCTTCATCTGGGGCATTTGAGAAGGGCTTGGAGGAGAGGTAGTACCTGCTGTAAGGGCTCCTGCTTGTCAGATGTCACTGGATACACAAAAGCAGAAGGAAAAGGCTCAACTCCTCAGAGGAATGCAGATTTGCATGAGTTTTTCTGTTAATGACATTGCAGTCACTAAGAGGTTTCTTCTAACCTCAAAGTATCCTCTGTGTGCAGAGCAATCCCAAGTTCAGGGGTCAGCCAGCAGAAACCTTTTGTGTTTTTATGAAGCCCTCAGCCTGTAACCCCCCATGTCTCCCACAAAGACCTGCCCCACACCTCTGCCCTCCAACCACCCCGCTCCAGCACCTCTCCAGCCCTCACCAGAGCCACATTTGCTTCGTTTAACAAGCAGAAGTGTGAGGGAGGACAACAGCACGCAACACACTGTTATAATGAAGACAACCAGCAATTGGTCTCTGGGTCAACTGTAGGAATAAGATGCTGTAGGACCCACGCCAGGATGGGATACTTCTGGGGAGAGCAGCCCCGAGTCAGGGTTGAGCTGGGCTTGGGCAGGAGAACCAAGTCACTGCTTGAGCCCTGGCAGCGGGCAACGTTGGCTTGGTGGGAGCCCCTTTGCCTGCCCAAGCAGAGAGGAAACGGGTGAGATAGGCAAGAGAGTAGCAATGAGAAGCAATAAATGCCAGGGTGGTGGTAAGGAATATCCCAAACTCAGCAAATATTAGAAACTGAGATCATCGGGATGACAAGCAGAAGCGTGATGAGCTGTGGGCATTGGCTTCAGCAGTTACCAGAGGAAATTTTGTCATCCGGTAGGAACCACAGAAAATCTCACAATTGCAAAGATTATTTCTGATGGAAATGGCGACCATATTTCCCCTTTGCTGCAGAAGTGGTTGGTCAAGCTTTCAGTTCTTCATTTAGAGGAGAGCCGGATGGGACTTCTTACTGGATGCTGATGAAATACTTTCCATTCTGACTGGAATTGAGGATATTTCGACAAATTGCTCAAAACTGCAGCTCAGCAAAAGTAGAGAGTTTGTGTTTAAGTGTGTTTAAGGAATTAAATATAAGGAACTGATATAAAGGGAGAGTGAAGAAATGACTTATGGTTTTATTGCTCCTGCCGTGGAAGACCTCTGTAAGCAGATGACTTTCTAATCCACCAGAGAAACACATGAGAAATTCAAGGGGGGAGGGGTGGAAAGAACCCGGCTTTACAAACACAAATTTGAAAAACCAAAGAACACAAAAGCCAAAACAAAAGGTTATGGTCAAGTACTCAACAGAATCAAAATGTAGTGCACACAGCTGAGAAAAGGGAGAACAAATAAGAGAAAAAAGAGAACAAATAAGTAAGGAAGAAGTGGATAAGGGAGGTATGGTCAAGCAAAAAGGGGCCCAAAGATTCCCCTAACGTCCCCCTGAGTCAGGCTGTGGCCATCTCGGAGTCACTGGCAATTAGCAGGACAAACTCACACGGAGTGGGAGAGGTACCAGAAAGCCAGTGATGAGCAAACATGACACTAGTCTTGCACTATCAGATGCTTTTGGCACTGTTTTGCGTGTGTCTCCTTAAGAAAATGAGGGAATTAAAGTCTAAAAAAATACATTACCCCCAGGGGCTGCGAGCAAAGTTCAAAGATTAGAGGGACCATCAGTATGGACCTGGCGGCGGGGGGCTGGTGGGACAGAGGGGGACGAGTCAAGGCATGGTGACACGTGAAGGGCCGCACTGAGAGAGCAGCCAGAAACTGCAGGGACAGTGTGCAGTCAGAGCAGACCCCAGCTGTGCTGGGGTGACAGCCGCTGGTGAGGAACTCACCTCTTCAGGCCTCACATTTCAAGAAATAAGTGATAGAAGAGCGAGAAAAGAGACACAAGAAAGACCCATGTCCAGATAGGGCAGCCAGCCAAACGTCACAGGGTTCATTTAGACTAGAAAAGATGATGAGGGATGATTTCAGTCATTGTAAGAGGAGGACAGCATCGCTTCTGGTCCCCAAGCCTGCTAAGGAAAGCTGAGACACGACTGCCTCGCACCAGCTGACTTTAGGAAAGCCTCTCCTGCTCTGCGGAGAGTTTACCCTGAGGACAAACCCCTGCCTAGCTGGCAGAAGCAGGCTGTATTCCTGACCTGGAGTCAGGGCTGAGGGATGCTCTCTGCACCTCTTTCAAGAGGAGAGGCTGCCGGACACGCGATGCCCCGTGCCTCGCAGCACTAACTGCCCCGCTGCCCCTCTGCCTTCACCAGCACAAGGCAGAAGGAAACCCCAGGCAGAGAGAAATGAAAGAAACTGCCAACGCCATGATCCCATGCAAGTGTAGAGAAAACCACACGGCGTTATGAAACATCCGTCTGGGAAGTGACACTCATCATTGATAAAAATTATGCAAAGGGGTCCCGTGGCCAGAGGTTACGAGGAAAACACAGATCAGCCGACAGTCTCACCCTGCGGTGAGCTGTCACTGACTCTTGCATATATCGTTTTATTAGAGCGACTCAGCATTCAAAGTGGCTGCCCAGAGAGGCTGTGGGATCTCCTTTTCTGGAGATATCCAAAAGCCACCTGGACACGATCCTGTCCAACCTGCTCTGGGTGAACCTGCTTTGGCAGGGGGGTTGGACGGGATGATCTTTTGTTGACTAGAAGATCTGGAAGGAACGGCCCTTCCACCCCCTGCCATTCTGTGAGATCCTAAACCAGCCCCCACCGCTACCTTTTTAATTCAAATTCCCAAATATCTCTTCTCCCTCAGAGCATCTTCTGTTATGCTCTGCACAGAGACCCACAACCCAGGACAGGGACTTTTCTGTGGTTCTGGACCAAAGACACACTTCTTCTCCCCCTAGCTTGGGTGACTTCTACGCTAGACTGGAAGGAAAGAGAGTGGTAAGAGGAAAAATTGTCTCTCCCCCAGGCAGGAGGTTGCAGCACGGATTCTCTGTGCGTGCATTACAGAAAAACAGATGG